ACTACACACACACACACACACACACACACACACACACAGTCCATTCATCTGTCGATGGACACAGATTACTTGCATTCAGTTAGGTTTGTTTAAGGTAGAGTTGAGAAGCATCTTGTGTTGCCGTTCACTGTGAGAGGTCACTTTATATCGGCTCCTGCTGCTCAGCCCGGGGTATTTTACTGTTGGGTGATTTCTCTCTGCGAGTTAGCAGTAGCCCATGCTGTGTTACAGAGCACCGCCCTGGGGAGGGACGCCTGTCATAAAGGAGCCGTGGCTCTAGCTGGCTCCACACACAGCCTGCCAGGAGCCTCCCCGTCTCCGCCCAGTCCTGGCTGGAGCAGCTGTGAGGCCCAGAACTAACTGACCAGCAAGGCTGAGGCCTTTCTCCAGCTGCTTTTCAGTCCTCTGTGTGGCTGACACTACCCAAGACACAGATCCTTAAACTGTTTCCTTTGGGTCGTTGTCCCTTGGAAGCCTGGTCTGTCTGGAGCGTTGGGTTTTAGAAGACAGCCCCTCAGTATTGAAGGAGGAGGGACCCTCTTTGCTTTAAAAGGGGTAGTTTGTACCCTCTGTTATATGTAAGGTATCTACTTGTTTTATTAACAAGATGTAAAATTTTTTTGCCAACACTTAGCACTTGCTAAGCACTAGATCATTTGGTGACATGATCTTTTTTTCTTTCTGTAACCCCCCTGTGTGAAATAAATTGCCAGCTTGGAGGTGATTCTTCTGCATTTTCAGGGGCACACATCAAATGGTTGATGACTTGACTTGGAGCCTAGTCTGACGATTGGATTTTGACTCTGACTTCCCAGAAACTTCAGACAGAAATAAGACTTATTCTTTTGGGGGAATGACTTGTATAAAACACTGTGTCACCAAGATTCTGTGTGTTTACCCCAACAATGTTCTCATGTGCAAGGCAGCCAGGCAGCTATATTGCATTTTGAGGAATGGCAGGCTGTAATTCCTAATAACTTTTATTATTTTTACTGTTTAAAGTTGTACTTTCTAAAAAATTTTGCTCTCCATAACCTAAATATGAAAGCAAAACGTTGACATTTTTATAGTGTCATGTAAGAAAGAAAGGGGTAGGGCTGGTCTAGTTTAATCTAGTTGTTTATTTTAGAATTTAGGATTTTTTAAGTAATTATAAACTTCCAGGAAACTAAAATTTTACTTGCCGAAAAATGTAAGGAGTTTGTAAGAGTTATGGTTTTTTTACTTTCTTTACAATGTGACCCTTTGTTTTTGCGTGTGTATTTTTGTTTTTTAGGATGTGGAGATAGATATTGAACTAGCTCCTGGAGATCAGACCAGCACGCCCAAGACCAAAGAACTCTCTGAAAAGGACATTGGAAACCAGCTGCACATGTTAACCAACCGACATGACAAATTCCTTGACACGCTCCGTGAAGTGAAGGTCTGTGCAGATCTGGGGGGGTAGTTGTGGTCTCCCCTCCCTCCAGTGTTCTGAACAGTCCATGAACCTGTGGGACCCCCCCCCAATTCACGGCTTGAGATGCGCATTTCTGTCAGTGGGTCTGTGGTCACTGAGTGCTTTGGCCTCTGCTAAATTGACTTGGAGCCAAGAGGCGCCTGACATCCAGACTGGGATGAAGGGAGCAGCCACATGCGCTCAGGGAGGCTCGTTCCTCACGGTCTTCCTCACGGGGCAGCCTGAGTAGCAGACGAAAAGTATTCTTCACTTTAGTGTTTCCGCCCGTTTTCCTTGGTTTGTGCGTTTGTCATAGAGACGTTGAGTAAAAGGCACAGCGTAACCGTGATGCGTGCGTCTCTGGCCCTGTCTCCATCTTGGGGTGCCAGGGCCCGCAGTGGGCTGGCGAGCATGTGCCCAAGACCCTCTGTGCCAGCTGCTTGAGGCCTTGTAGGGAGGTGGGCATCCGGGAAGCAGCTAGAAACCTGGCCGTTGAGAAGCAGTGTCTGCAGCAGATTCTTGTCAAAAGAAACAAAGCTGTGGACAAAAATCAAATGCATCTGTGGACGTGACAGGCCCTGGGGGCCCTTGTTCCCACCCCGTTCCCACCTCGGCCCACTCACAGGGTGTTCTGGGCCAGACTGGTCCAGTCACTTCCATCTCTGGTCCACTGTCAGGTGCAGAGACTCTGAACTGTCACGGCTCTTGATTTGTTCTCAGAATTATTCCTATTGGCAAATCACATAGCTCGTATGTGTATTTCTCCCGTTTCCCCTACGTATTTTCAGTAGCCTCTGCTTTGAAGGCACTTGTATGCCTCTCGTCTGCACTTGTAGCGCCAGCATCATGTTTGTGCTTCTTGGACGTGGAGGAATCAGTAATAATAGGAAGTGCCCTTGAAAGTTAAAAAACGTAGGCACACTGTTGGTGAGCCCCTCACCCACGCCCATGCTCAGCTGCTCAGCTCACCAGGGGTTCTGGTGCTCAGAATCTGTGTTTCACTTTGCCCTGACGTTTGTTCGGGTCAGTTTGGGAGCGGAGGGGCGTCTATCTGGTGGAGTGTGGGACTGCAGTGTCCCCCGGCACAGACGTGAGAGGCACCTGCACGGCAGGAGTTTGCGCGCAGGCCCGGCTACACCAGTCCATTCTCCCCGCAGACCGGAGCGCTGCTCGGCGCCTTCGTCCAGCTGTGCCACATTTCCACCACCCTGGCAGAAAAGACGTGGGTCCAGCTTTTTCCCAGATTGTGGAAAATTCTGTCTGACAGGCAGCAGCATGTGAGTGTATTTCATAAATCCTCTTTTGAAAACTAGTTTTTGCTTTTAGTAAGTATTTGTGAGAAAAAGTGATCTTAAATTTCAAAGGATGAGGAAACTACTCTTATTTAAAAGTGAATTATCAGAAATAGCCCAGATGCCATGTGAGAGAGTAGACATGCTGATTTTTGAACAAGGACCCAAGTTACCGCACTGCTTGGTTTCAGGCGCTGGCAGGGGAGATCAGTCCGTTCCTGTGCAGCGGCAGTCACCAGGTGCAGCGGGATTGTCAGCCCAGCGCTCTGAACTGCTTCGTGGAAGCCATGTCCCAGTGTGTCCCCCCCATTCCCATCCGACCCTGCGTCCTGAAGTACTTGGGAAAAACCCACAACCTCTGGTTCCGGTCCACACTGATGCTAGAGCACCAGGCCTTTGAAAAAGGTCTGAGCCTGCAGATTAAGCCGAAGCAAACAACGGAGTTTTATGAGCAGGAGAGCATAACTCCACCTCAGCAGGTGAGGCCTCACTGCTTTTGTCGATCAGTCTTCCTTGTCAGTGACTTCACATTTTCGATTTCGTTGTAAATCGGGGTACTGTGAAGTTGCTTTTTTGGGAAGAATGGTTTTGTCACGGGCACTCATAGACACCAGCGTCTGTGTCCTCAGGAGATCCTGGACTCCCTCGCCGAGCTGTACTCCTTGTTACAAGAGGAGGACATGTGGGCGGGTCTGTGGCAGAAGCGCTGCAGGTACTCGGAGACGGCAACCGCCATCGCCTATGAGCAGCACGGCTTCTTCGAGCAGGTAGCGCTGCCGGCGGGTGCGGGGGGCCACAGGAAGGCCGCTGCTGGCCGCACTTTGCTGTCGCGTCCTCAAGTCAGGTCACACTCAAATAGAAGTTTGTTGTTTATTGGGAGCATTTATTTATCCTACACATAGAGGCTGTTTGATCGAGGTCTCAGTTTAAGAGAAATGTGCATATGTGACATGAACATTTTTAGAGCTCTGTCCTGAATCCCTTACTGTCAGCTGCTCACGTGAATGCTTTTTATTTGCAGTCCTTGGTCCTAAGGGAAGGGTAGGTAGGTTGTGTCTAGTGTAAGACTAACCTTGTACCGGTCCTTTCGCTGCAGTAGGGTCACTGTCGCAGGTGCAGTCACCGCCCTGTGTGGGACACTGAGCACAGACACTCCAGCAGCAAAGGCACGGGCTGTGGCCCCTGCTTTCATTACCACCGAGGATGGAGAGTGAATGTGGGTCTGGGCAGAGTCTGCTCCTTCCCTTCTGTGTGGGGACCTGTGCACCCACCTCCTCCCACTCTCCTGTGTTCTGAGTGAAGAATTTGGGGTGTCAGGTGACCTGAGAGAAGAGCATGAGACACTCCTAGGTCTGGGACCTGGCTTTTCCTCAGTCACTGGGCAGTGGTCATACAGAGGTTCTGGTTAAACAGCCGTGTGAAAGCATTATTAACTTTTTTAGGCACAAGAATCCTATGAAAAGGCAATGGATAAAGCCAAAAAAGAACATGAGAGGAGTAATGCATCTCCCGCTATTTTCCCAGAGTACCAGCTTTGGGAGGACCACTGGATTCGGTAAGCTGAAAGTGATGTGTTCAAGGGTCAGCTAAGGGGACCAGTGAAAAGTCTCCAATGTACTCTCACAAGTATTTTTAAAAGGGATCTTTGCTTCTTTCTTTATGGCCCCAAAGGAAAGAACAAACAAAAATCTGCACATAGCTGTCAAGTCTTGAGTCACTGAGAGTGTGCTGGAGAAACAGTAAAACGAGCTCAGATTCCAGGGCTCTGAGCTCCTTGCTATGGGTGGGGGGGTGGGGGGCTCTCACTGCCTCAGGGGAGCAGCTTCCTGGGGCACCTCAGCATCCCGCAGAAGCCTCCCTTCTTTGTGTGGGCAGCAGTTTCTTTTCCTTCTGTGGATTGGAAGTGAATGGCTGGATCCTGTCTTCTGCCCTTTCTGAGTCTGTGTGGTAACTGAGCGTTGGTCCTGAATTCATGGTCTCTAGGTGCTCCAAGGAGCTGAACCAGTGGGAAGCCCTGACAGAATACGGCCAGTCCAAAGGTCACATCAACCCTTACCTCGTCCTGGAGTGTGCTTGGCGGGTGTCCAACTGGACGGCCATGAAGGAGGCCTTGGTGCAGGTGAGACGTTCCTCCTGCCTCCCAGGGACATGTCCACTCTCAGGTTGTAGTCTCTGCAGCCACGTGGGTCTCTCTGGCCAAAGTCATGAACCTCTGGAGATTTCCCTTCACTTGCAGCAAGCTGGGTGTTCTGGCAGATGAAAGATAGCTTCACTTTCTCTTTCTGGCTTATTTCACTTAGAATGACAATCTCCAGAGCCATCCATGTTCCTGCAAATGGCATTATTTTATTATTTTTTATGGCTGAGTAGTATTCCACTGCATAAATACACCACGCCTTCTTTATCTAATCATCTGTCGACGGACATTTAGGTTGTTTCCGTGTCTTGGCTATTATGAATAATGCTGCTGTGAACATTGGGGTGCAAGTATCTTTTTGAATTAAGGTTCCCTCTGGATATATGCCCAGGGGTGGGATTGCTGGATCATAGACTTACCATATTTTTAGTCTTTTGAGGAGTCTCCATGCTGTTTTCCACAGTGGCTGCACCAAACTGCATTCCCACCGACAGTGTAGGAGGGTTCCCTTTTCTCCACAGCCTCTCCAGCATTTGTCATTTGTGGACTTCTGAATGATGGCCATTCTGACTGGTGTGAGGTGATACCTGATTATAGTTTTGATTTGCATCTCTCTGATAATTAGCAATGTTGGACATTTTTTCATATGCCTACGGCTGTTTGTGTTCATTGGAGAATTGCTTGAAGTTCTTCTGCCATTTTGGTTTGGGTTGTTTGTTTTTTCTTATTAAGTCATATGAGCTGGAAATTAAGTCTCATCTTTTGCAAATATTTTCTCCCCTTCTGTAGGTTGTTTTGTTTTGCTTATGGTTTCCTTTGCTGTGCAAAAGTTT